AAACTAGACACAACTGAGATGGCTGTCGGGATTCCTCCTGTCTATAATGGCAGCCTTTATCATAGATCTGGTGTGCAAAGAAAAAGATAGGAACAAAAATGTGTGCTGTTGCAATGACAGAAGGCCCCTGGGAACTCAATCAGGGTGGAGTGATGGGGTTTTTTTTTTTTGGTGCTGGGGATCGAACTCAGGTTCTTGAGCTTACGCAGCAAGCAGAGAAACCACTGGCCTAAATCCCCAGCCCGATGGCTTCTTTTTTGTTGAAACAAGATCTTGTTATGTAGTTCAGATTGGCCTCAAACTCATTAATTAGCCCAGAACTCCTGAGTGCTGGTATTACAGGTGTGCACTATCACACCTGGCTACTGAATGGCTTCTAACAGCCTCATACATTCATAGGTGGGGTTTGGGAGTGACCGAATCACTGATGGGCTTAGAGCTGGGTGTGACTACGGGAGATGAAGCCTGGTGGGGGGCGGGGGTCAGTGTGGGTGTGGCCTGCAACTGTATGAATCCCTCCTTATCCCTTGATTTTTGCCCTGCTCCCTGCTTCCTGTCTGCCCTGCCATCAACTGTTTCTCTCCTGTCATGTGGCCTAATAGCCAACTGACTATGGACTGAAGCTGCTACAAACTGTGAGTCAAAATAAACCTTTCCTCAACTTGTGGGTGTCAGATATTTTGTCCCAGCACTAAGAAAGGAACCAAGACATATGGTTACTCTAAGGTCATGAGAGGAACTGTGTTTTACTCTGGTTTTGCACGTGCACATGTCCTGCAGACACTAAGGAAAAGGTGAAGAGCAACCAAAACTACACTAATGCCTCAGTTCACCAATGCTTCTGTTTGCAAAGATTTCATTTTGTAAACAAAAGTGTCCGGCAAAATTGTGCTTGTTCCCAGACTCCTCATTGGGTGACAGACATGACTATGGCCATCTTCTCCACACAAACACATCCATCATCCCCCAAATCATAAAACAAGTACCACTGTACTAAAAGCAAACTGCTGCAGCTCCCAATAGCTCATCAACAAAAGAGGTAAGATATGGTTAAATAAACCAGGCATCTCATAAAGAGTACAGAAGTAAAGCTAATACTTCATTAGGTGAGAAGAGGTAACAAGAGTAAAGGAAAGACATGTCCACTTTGTCCTCCCAACCATGTGCTACAAAAGGAGACTAAATGAACTGAGGAAATGTTCAAAGCACTGAAGGCATTGATCAAATTATACATTCAGCACCTTGCTTTAATATTGACATATTTTAGTAATCAATACCCCATTAATTGCTAAAGAGTGCTGCCCAACTTGGCTGCCCCTCCCCAGTTTCGATATTCACATCATATTGTGCTTAATCTTGTTGGCAGAGAAGGGCTGGTTACGCACAGGGGTTAACATGATCCATGGGGCAAATGATGAATCATGGAGAAAAGAAGTGACAGGAAAGCTAGGTACCACCTAGTCTGGAAGCATCATAACTGTGGTTGGGGTGGTGATGAAGACGGTTGCCAGGAAGATAGGGGGCTGCACACACAGACTCCTCCAGTAGAGTGCATTTGTGTTCTTTGTTCAGTATGCCTATGTGGTCACCATCCTCGCCCATCAACTCAGCTGATGGCAGCATTACGTACTGGCTCCACATGGTGACCCTCTGCCTGGAGGTCCCTTGTGAAGTCAACCCCAATGTGTGGACTGTCTCTGATCAGAATGTTCTCACCATGAGTCAAACTGCTTGCTGAGAAACCTTCCCAGTCTTTTCCTAAATCACACCTATTTCTACTAGCAAAGGTCTGTTAGATGTCCAGATGTGTCTGGCTCCTGCCAGCAGCCATTGAGCACTGGGTCATCCACACAGCTGTGCCAATTGGGGCCATCTGAACCCTTCCCACTGTAGCAGGGATGGCAAGGAGCAGCAGGGACAGTGGTGGCCTAATGGCTTTAAGAAAGATCTTGCCTTGTGTCCAGTGTGGCCTTGAACTTGTGAATCCTCCTGGCTCAGCTTCCCAACTATTGAAATTAGAAGTGTGGACAGCAATGCCACACTCTGAATGTGGTTTTAAAATTAAAATAGAGAAATGGAGCCATGATGTCATGCGAAGTTTTTATTAAAAAAAAAGTTTAGGGAGTGGTGAATAGAGAAAACAGCCTGAGATGTGTCCAGATGCTGAAATGTAACAATGGGAGGAAGAGGAGGAGAGAAGTGGGTCCCTGGGACACAGCACAGATTTGAAGTGAGAATTGAAGCCCATGGGGAGAGTGAGGAGAGCATCTTCAAACAAGGGGGTGGCAGGCAGCACTTTCTCCTTGAGCCCTAATTGTGTGGGAGTGGTGACTCAAACCTGCGGATGCACGGTGACTACTGGTGATTACTGGAGGTCTCCAAGGAGAAACAGTTGAAGAGAGCAGTGAACTGCAGTGGCTGCTGTTATTCAAGTTCAGGCACCCCCAGGTGCAGACAACTGGCCAAAAGCTGTCTTGGAGAGGAGTCCACTGAGCTTGGAACTCAGGAGCTGTGGGTTGGCTCTATCAGGGAGAGGCAGAACCAAGTTCAAGCTTCAAGAAGGCAAATGGAGTGTTGCAGGTTGAACAAATCGGGTTCCAGCCTCACAGCCAGAAACCAGCCTGAGCTTCTGAACTAAAGGTGCAGGATTGCTGGGATTAGCCACTACCCCACTGTAAATCTACAGCTGGCTTCCCAAGATTAATCAACTCAGATCTAGGCTGTGTGCCCACTTTGTCTACCAGTGATAGCAGAGACTAACCTTGAACTTGACATTTTTTTCCTTTTCCTGTTTTGGTTTCCCTTGTTTGTTCTTTTTAATGTGTCAACATTGTTTCTACTTTTTGTTGTCATTCTGTTTCTATTTTTATTTTGTTTTCTCTTTCCCCCTTGTCTTCTCCAGTGCCAAAAGTTTTCATAATGTTCCTTTGTCCTTCAGCCTTGCTTTTACTTTCTCTTCAACTTTTGTTTTCTTCCTAACCCTATTTAAATTTTCTCCCCTGAGGGTAAAATCACCATACTGAGGGCATATTTATTGTATACAATTTTCTGGTTTGTTTTACATTTTGTGGGGGGGGGTTTTTTGGTCCCGGGGATCAAACTCGGAACCTTGCACTTTTGAGGCAGGCGCTAGAACCACTGAGCTAAATTCCCGGCCCTAGATTTTGTTATATAACAACAAACAGAGTTCATATGGTCCACTGTGGCAAATTAAGCTAGCACAGTTTGTCATTTTGTAGCTTGTGTTTGATGCTATTGTTATTGTTGATTGTACTACTATAGCCAAGGTGACATAATTGTTATAATCAATCAGTTGTTCTTCCTGGTGCACCAAGACTGAGATTGCCTGAGGGTCACAAACAAGACTATAGGCCAGTGCCAAAGGGTGTGGGGCTAGGCCACATAGGCAGCAACTTCTCATCCCTAATAAATTAAAGGATCAAAAAATAAATAAATAAATTGAAGGATCTTGCACCAGATTCAAAACCCAAAAGCCAGCTACACGTGGAAGACATTCCGAGAAGTAGTCATTTCCTAAGGGTTCTAAATACTAGCAACCAAGCTACTTGCCATACACAATTTACATGCATCAGCCAACGAACAACCCCCACCCCCCCAAAACAAAAAGACATGTAAGATGCAACCACAAACTCCTAGCTCACCAAAGGCAAACCCAGGGAGAAACGAGGTGGAACAATTTGAAACCCACTCACTTGGACTCTCTGAAGTGGTAACAGTGAAAGTAACAAAGCAAATGAATGAGGCTGTAGAAAATCAAATCAGACATAGTTTCTCAGATAACTACAAAGACTATAACCATAATGAAAGACTTGGATAGTGTCTCTAGTGCAGATACAGATAAAAAAAAAAAAAAATAAGAGGAGTTTAGGAAAATGATGGAAACCATGAACACCCGACATAGGAAAGAAAAGGATTCAAACAGATATCCAGGAGATTAAAAATTCCATTGAAAGTATATGCAGAATGAGCCAATGTGAGGACAGAATAGCAGATACAGAAGGTAAGACTGTTGGGCCAGGGATTTAGCTCAGTGGTTCCGGTGGCTGCCTTGCAAAAGCAAGGTCCCGAGTTCGATCCCTGGTCCAAAAAAAACCCAAAAGAAATAAGATAAGACTGTGGTTATCGATCAAGAAAAGAAAGATCTCTTGGCCCAGGCTGATTGAAAAAAAAAAAGAAAGATCTCTTGGGGCCAGGGATCGCAAGGGCCAAGGCACCACACCTGCCTTGCAAGCTCAAGGTCCTAAGTTTGATCCCCAGTACCAAAAGAAAAAGGCAAGGGACCACAAAAAATCAATCCAACAGCAAATAGATGATGGAAAGGATAAGACTGATTGATTGGACTCAATGAAAAAGCAGGAGATAGCACAAATGATGTAAAAAACCTTTCACAGAAGTAACAGTAGAAACTTTCCCAAACAGGGAAACAATTTTGACATAAGGTAAGTGAGGCACATAGAACTCCTATTAGCCACAATCAAAAGACAAAAACAAAAAACTACACCAAGGCATATAATAGTCAAGAGTCTAGAAATTCAACACAAGAACAGAATATTAAAAGCTGTTAAGAGGGCCAGAGATTTAGTTCAGTGGTTTCACCGCCTGCTGTACAAGCGCAAGGACCCGAGTTTGATCCCTGGTACCCACCCCCACAAAAAAGGTGCTTGAGAAAAGAAACAAATCATCTATAAAGGAAAGCCCCTCCGAATCAGCAGACTTCTCAACACAAACCCTCAAGTCAAGGAGAGCTTGGAGTGAAGTATTTCAAATCCTAAAAGAAAGCAACCTCCAACCCAGATTGATGTACCCTGCAAAACTACTTTTCAAAATTGAGAAATAATTTTCTTCCATGACAAAGAGCACCTAAAAAATTTCAAAACCACAAAACCAGGACTCCAAAGTGCTCTGAAGAACATTCTAGAAAGAGATGAGGACTACAACTCCATGAACCCCTACAAAATGAATCCATCAGGCAAAGCAAGCAAAAAATAAATGTTTATTTAAAATATGAAAAGTAATGTTAAGATATTATCCAAAAATTGTGTTCAGTTTAACAAGTATAAAACAAGACTTCTGAAAAAAAACTTATAATTAGGTACAAAATACTTAAGAATATACTTTGATATTCACAGTGGATATGTCTGAAAAAATACATTTTACTGATGTTGTTTAGAAATAAAAATATATTTACAAACTCAGTTAAATAAACAAGCCCTCAAATGAGGAGCAGTACACTCCAATGGGCAGTCAGCATTTTCAAATATGATGTGCACAAGTCTTGTGAAAATAATTGTAAATGTGCTTTATAATATATAAGATCAAATACCTTATAGCCTGACAAACACTATCCATTTCTTACATGTGCCAACCCAGACAGCTGTCTAGCAATTTTTTCTTTTTTCTTTTTTTGGTACCGGGGATTGAACTCAGGATGTGCTTGCAAGGCGGGCGGTGGAACCACTGAGCTAAATCCCTGGCCCTGTCAAGCAATTTTTATAAAACAGGAACCACAAAATACATAACCTAATGGTAACCAGTCTCAGGGGTTCTTTACCAGCAATCTTGAGTTATTTCCAGCAAGTGACTCTGGGGAGGAAATGACAAGAAGTCCCAGAGTGGCAAGGAAAGCGAGTACCAGGTTACTGGATGGGGCTGCTGCCCAGGCTCCTGCCGTGCTTCTGCAGGTACAGCTGCTTGTAGGTCTGAAACATGGCCCGGGAGTCTTTCATCTGGTTCTGCTGCACTTCTTGTCCATCTGCACTGGTACTTCTCTGTAGCAGTCTTAAATTAACACCTAAGGAAACAGAAACATTGCCTAATAGAAGGAATATGGTCAAAACTAGGATTGAAAACACCCACTTATCTTCAGGAAAAAAAGCCAGGGAGTTAAAACAAAAGTCTGCCTCACCAGGGTTCCAACGAATTGGAAACATCTCTGCTATCACCATGCCTCACCTCTGGGGGCCATGTTCACTGTCTCCATGCCCATCTTCAGAGTGCTCTCTCTCTACACTTACTCAGGCGTTCCCTCAATCTGCATGGTTATGTGAAGGTGACCTTGTGAGCAACTATCTAGAGGAGCAATCTGCTGGTACTCTAGGAGGTTGAGACAGGAGGATTACAAGTTTGGGCCCAGCCCAGGCCACCTAGTGAGAATCTGTCTCAGGTAGGTAGACAGAGAGATATGGATCATTCATAGAAGACAGGTAGGTAGATAGGAAAAAAAAAAAAAAAAAAGAGGAACAGAAAGAGCCCAAGTCTGAAACAGTCCCCAAGAGGGAATGAAAGGAGTCTTGCTCTTCTGGCCTTGCCAGGCATTGGAGAGCTGCCTTTGGAGGCCTTCACTCCCACTCAGGGCCTTTAACACACTGGCCTCCTTTCCTCTATTGACTTTGCTTTTCATTCCTGTGGCTGTTGGGCTGGGGATTTAGCTCAGTGGTTCCGCTGCCTGCTATGCAAGCACAAGGACCCAAGTTCAATCCCTGGTACCGAAAAAAAAAAAAATAAATAAAAAATTAATTCCTGTGGCTGTCTTTCTCCTGGGTGAGCAGAACACCCTGCCCTCTTTGTTCTCCACATAAGCACCCTCCACGTTCTTGTCAGCTCTTTGCCCCATGAGTCTGTAAGTGGCCCCTGGGTCTCTCTCCCACCGCCCTCGAATCCCACTCCTGTTTGATGATTTCACAACTTGCTGCGCCTTTGCGAGGTACAGGCCAAGAGGGTTGGGGATGTGATGGAAAAGTTTACCAAGAGCAGAGCCAGGAAGGGGATTTACTGACTACACTGTCAGGAGCAGCTTCCTATCTTCTCTCCTGTGTCCCCTTCTTTCTCCTCACCCAGAGTACTCCTGTAACACACTCGTCACACATTCAATGCTCGTTCTGCGAATGACTGTCCTTTCTTCCGTGCAGCTCTCGGGAATCTGTCTCTACCAGGGTTACCTACCCCGGGAACATTTCAACTCCAGGTTGCAAGTGACCACCAACTTTCTCTCTGAAATAATATTCCTGCTCTTCCGTTTCCAACACCTCTCCAGCCCCAGTCTCCCACACCCCCACTTCCTGTTCACTTTTAGCAAACACAGGTTTCAGTGTGTATCTCACTTAGTGTCCACATGTCCAGTTTTATAGATATATATCCTTTTCAGATTTATGCTTTCTATACACTCCTGAGGCCTTACCATCTGGTTCTCAATGCAAAATCCCTAATACAAAGTATATTCGGCCCTACTAAGCCAGATGTTGAAAGTTCTAGTTTTTCTGGTTAGTTCTCAAACACTACTCCCTCCCCAGATAAATAACTAACTACAGTGGCTAGGAGGGTCAGCTTGTCATTATGCAATGTATCTCCATGGACTTAAGGGTGCGGGGGTGGGGGGGACTGGCCTAAAGTCAAACAATATAACCTCTCATCTATAAAAGCCTCGCCTACCTTGTTGTGAAGATCAAATGAGTCAATGTCCAAATCATCTAATGGAGTTTGGCAAACTTATGACCCGTGCTCAAGTCCAGCCTGCCACCTATTTTGATAAGTAATGTTTAATTAGAACACACATATATATTATCTACAGCCTTTTTTTTTTTTTTGAGACAAGGTCTCCATATGTAATTCAGGTTGGCCTCAAACTTATGGCAATCCTCCTGCCTCAGGCTCCCAAGTACTAGGATCACAGGTGTGCACCACCATGTCCAGCTTTGCAGCCTTTTTCTTGATACAATGCTAATGTTAAGCAGTCAGGCCAAAGACACAGAAAACTCAAATATTTACTGTCTGGTCCTACACAGGAAAAATACGCAAACCCCATTCCTTAACTCAACGTGTTAGGGATTACTTTCTTGTTAAATGAAAATAAGATTCCAGCTTCCTATTTCTCACCATGACAGAGAATATATTATTGCTAAACACCAACACTGAGTGACTGAAAAAAGAAAATGGGATAGAATCATACTTTATAACATCAGAATCACAGTACCACTTATAAAATTTAAATAGATGACTTTACCTATTTCTTGGTTGGCTTCCTGCATCACTTTCTTCTCAGTTACACATTTTATCCAGTCTTTTCTTGAACATTTTATTCCTGAAACTATTTAAATATTCATTTTTAGATTGCTGTTCATTTATTTCACAATGAATAAAAAAGCACATAAGCCTAAAATAGATTGTGGAAGGCATTAAGATACATTGTATCCATATATAACTAAAAAAGGCTTAGAAAAATTACTTCTCCTGTTTTAAGTGCTTGAGTACCTTACAACTGAAAATTGAATTTATAATGCCCATAACCCCTAAATATAAATGATTATCATGCATTTTCTCCTTCCCTCAAGTGCTCATTAGCTAGGAGCTAATGGCCACTTAGGTTTCTGACATGTCATTTACCACACTGGACAGCAGGCCGCCTCTTTCATCAGCAGGGTGCATAGCTTTAGTGACAAGACAGTCAACTTTTTCAAGATGACAAAAGATTGACGCATTCCCTGGTTAACAAGACTTCACTATTAGTCATTACTCACCTCCTAATATTTATTTATTTAGTTAGTTTTTTTGGTACTGGGGATTGAACTCGGGTCCTTGTGCTTGCGAGGCAGGTCGTGGAACCACTGAGCTAAATCCCTGGCCTCCTAATATTTAGAACACAATCTCAAACTTACAAGTCTGCTCTGAAATTAACAAGTTCAATAGAAAACAACAAAAATTAAGACTTTTGGAACATATGCACAACTGACATTTCTAACTTTATAGAACTTTTGTCATGACTACTGATTTACTATCACTTGCAATAAAGGGTGATAAAGTAAAATAAACACTGCCTGGTAAAACACTGATGTGGTAAGAGAAACACATAGTAAGGTGTTACTTAAAAGATCCATTTAGTTCCCAGCCACCCAGACAGTATGCGGGCAAGCCTGTGTGTCAACTTAGACACCCTGTTCCAAGGTCATGCACGCTACCAAGAAAATCATACTGGACCTTGTGCGGTGGCCTGCTCCTCAGGATGAGCCTTGAGATCATACTTGTCTTCAACAGAGTTTGTATTCTTCAACAGTACATCCGGGCATAATTTAAACTCCAGCATGCTTGGTTTTACACTGGAGTCTTTCCCTGGGAAAGAGGCCTTGGGCTTATGTTCGGAGCTCTTCTTGTCTTTCCCAAGCTTTGCAGGGGAGCTATTGAGTGTGGTGAGACAGATACTCTCTCGTTCTGTGCATCTGAAGCTCAGGCGGTTCAGGTAAGACTTCCTTTGCTCCTTCACTTGGGAAGACACTTCATTGCTTACGTTGCTTAGTGTTTTGTCTAATTTGGTTTTAATCAGCTGCTTTGCATCAGCTCTTCCTTCGACAGGCCTTGAAAGGCTGCATGTCTTAGACTCCTCAGGAGGGTGGGCCTTAAGGTTTTTACCACAGTTAGTATACACATTTGAGGAGTCTTTCGAGGTCTCTATGCTGCTGCCACCTTTACCATTTGATTTCCTGCAACTCTCTGGTTGTGCATGAAGTTGAGCGAAGCCCGAGGATGCAGAATTGCCCGAGACATTTTCCAAGCAGGTTTTCATGGCTGTTTTAGCCATCACCTCTTTTTGCTTCTTCCTCTGGAAGTATTCCTGCAGTGTGATCACTTTCTTAAGCTTACATGAACCATCCTGGATGTCTGAGGACTTTGCCAGTGATACTGCCTTATCTTTAACACTGGCTCTTTCACTTATGTCTTTGGAGTCTGCAGACTTCATCTGTGATGCTGTCTTTTCTCTAACAGTGGCTGTAACCCTTGTGTCCTTGATGTCCAAGGACTTTGCATTTGATGTTGAATTTTCTTTAGCAATGGCTTTTTCATTTGGGTTTGGCAAAGTATTACATAATTTGCATGTAACTCCTGCATTTTTATTTTGTTCTTGTTCATCACATTTCTTCTTTTTTATCTCCAAACCTGGTCTTTCCCCTTGGTCTATCTTCCTTTTTTCCAAATGTCCTTCTTGGGGGCTGCTTTCTTTGAATTTCAATTTTTTCTTTTCTTGAGATGAGGACTGTACAAAAGAGTCATTCTCCCTATGCAGACCTGTATTTGGGAAAAGACTTGTTTTGGGGGTTAGTGGGTATGAGTTCTGTGATGCGTGTTTCTTCTGTAGACCCTCCTGAGAAGTCTGGTCAGAAAGTGTCATTTTATCACCAGATTGGAATTTTACCTCATGAAATTTCAGCTTTACTTTCTTATTTCTTTGCAAGGGGTCTGGTTCATCACACTTAGATGAAAACTGGCCAGTTACTGCTTGTCCCGTATTTGCTGAGGCTCCTTGCTTTGTTTCGGAAGTATCTTTCTTATCGCTGCTTTTCCATTTAGGTGGAACCTCACCAGGTGGCTCCTGTCTCCTCCTTTTTGCACTGTCTTTTCTGGTTTTAGATGCATCTTTTATGTTGTTGCCATGTATTTTAGGCAAATGTGTTTTCTCAGCTGCTGCAGTCAGAGGTGTCTTTGGCTTATCCAAAACACCATCAAGTTTAACAGTGACATCTGCATCAGAGGTTTTTGGTCCTTGTTTACAACCACTGCTTTCCACTGGAGCTGACTGCTCCTCCCTCTTATCCTCCTCCACAGCATTACACCGACATTTGGGGACCCCTTCATAAATCATTGCAAGCCAGCCCAATGCACAGCAATGGATTTTTTCTGTGTCCCCTACAGAATCTGGACTTTCTCCTTCCTCCTGTTTTTGTGGGTCACATTGACTCCCAACTTCTGCAATGTGCTTTTCTTTCTGAGGTTCTGCCAACTTGTCCACCTTAGGAGGTGGTGGTCTGTCTCCTTCACTGGGTTCATCCTGTTCAGGAAATAGTTCTTTCATTTGTTCTGAGCTTAGAATTGTAATTTTTATTTGGTCTGAAGGTCCCTTAGAGTCACAACTGATTTTACCACCAGTTTGATCTTCTGGGATCTGTCCCATCTTCTTTTGGTTCACAAAACTCTTATATGTGTTCAGATCATCAATGCCATAAGGGAACTCCTTTAAAAGTTCTGACAGCTGGTCATGTAGGTACAAGACAGATGTGTTATCATTAGGAATCTCACTTGCTGTAGGGCCTCGGGCAGTGTCATTGCCAGAGGTGTCAATGTCCCCAGAGTTAAAATCCTGAAGAACAGCAGCTGGTGAGCAACAAGTATTCTTGGCCATGCCCTCATTTTTAGTGGTTTTCTCCAAATTGCTCTCCGGTAGAATTCCTGGTTCAACAGGATCGGAAGATGATGTTCCCACAAGCTTGGGTGGTTCTTCCCTCCTTACAGTGTCTATTTCACATGGGAAGTCTGTGCACCTTATACATTCATCATTCTGAAGACCCATGTCTTTACTTTCAGAGGCTTGTTCTACTTGTTCTTCTTGGTGTCCAGTACTAATTACTTGTTCATTGGGTAGAGAAAATTTCTGTGGCTCAACCTTTTCCAAAGGGGAAGAGTTGAACATCTTTGCAATCTTGGAATTGTAAGATACATCCCCTTCAACAAGAGAGCAAATATCTTCAATCTGTAATAAATCACCAGCCACAAGAGTTCTGTCCTTTGATTTAGAAGAGGATTGTGGACCATTCATTTGACAATGCTGTTCTTCATGGATACTGGGTGTGTTTTGTGCATTACCATTATTTGGCTCATTTTGCTTTTCCTTCTGAATTAGAGGGAAAACCTTGGCTGATGTTGTAGAACTCATCACTGGCTTGATAACATCAACTTTCAAAGCAGTAGTTACTGCTGCATTTTCTGCCTGCTGATTTTGTAAGCTACAAATGCTCCCTTCTTTAATAATAGGATACACCGTTTCAGGTAGTGCTCCAGGTGTTATTTCTTTAATGACATTTGAAAGAATTAAAGGTGACACTACAGCAATCTGGAGTTCTGTTCCCTTTGTTACATTTGCACAGGAAGGCTCATAATTTTGGACTAGCATGGACAAAGCTGCTTCTTGCAACACATTTACCGTTTTGCTCTGAAGATTTCTCTCAACTGAACAAGGATTCTGGATGGGAACTTCCAGAGGTTTTGAAATTCCAGCTGATGTGTTTGTCAGTGACTCATTAACCTGTTTTTCCTCTGCAGATTTTGAAGCCTTTTCTTCTGTCATTTTTGAGGGCTGATTTTTCCAAAGATTAAGACAAGTTTTTACCAATTCTGTGGAACAGTGACCTTTAGGAGCTATTTCTTTTACTGCGAATTCAGGATGCTGAGCTGGCTCACTGGATAAACTATTACTTGGTTTACAACCTGCAGCCATCAAGAGATCTTTATTAATTTTAATTTTCCTTGCAAGTTCTGAAAACTTCTTTTTCATTTCTATTAATGATTTAATATCTCTCGCTAGCTTTTCTTTTGTAACAGCTGGGTCTGGCCCTTGATTTGAAGTTGGATTGTAAGAATCAATTTTTTTCTCTTGATTATTTTGAGAAAGAGTCTGAACACCATCCACAGATCTAGCTGGTTCAATAAATGGGTGTTTGACACTGGCATCTTTTACATCACAGAAATTTCCAAATGGTATGACATTTTCATTAGTGCTTTGCCACTGCTGCTGAAAGCCTGGGAAGAAGTCTTTCTTTACTTCAGAAGAATGTATCTCTGGACTCTGAAGAGCTTCCACGGACAAGCGTTTGGTAACATGCTGTGCATTTTGCAAGGGCTGGCTTCCATATCTACAGTTGTAAGCAGGAGGGGGCCTTGCGCTGCTTTGTACAGCATACTGATATACTGCTGTAGCTTGGTTTGACTGTACAGAAGTCGGGAGCTGATTATGTGTGATCTGTGATGGTGGTGAAGACATAAGGATTTTCTTGTGAATACTAGGATCTTGCATGAAGCTTTGTGCTGAATAAGAGTGTTGCTTTGGAAGTGGTCTGTAACCTGGGTAAGTCAGTTCATCAGATGCATGCTGTTGGGCCCAATCAACCTGCTGATTTGATAATGACTGGTTCAATCCTTGACTTCTCTGTAAAGCTACAGGAACTCTTGAAGAATCCTGAGTCACCTGCAATTGCACAGAGTAGGTGTCTGATGCTGCACATTGACTCTGCAGTGCATGTGAATTAGCTGGATTAGTTCCAAAGTGACTTTGACGAGATACCGTTGCCTCCATTTGAGAAGGTGTAGAATCCATCATCAAAGACTTCCACCTCAGGTTTTGTACAACTCCTGAAGTCACCTGCAAATTATGATTTGGCTTCATGGGTCCTTTAGTATTTGTGTATACTGTTCTTTCTAAAGTCTGGGAGGCCACCACTGTCCTGTTAGGCATATTAGAGGCAGGGATCTGAAGAGGAACATTGTAATTTCTGACATTTGGCAGTGGCTGTGACACTGTATTTGAATTACTGAGATACATGCAGGCTTCTTGGTTACTTGGAAGACAACTGAAAGAACTTTGAGATGTAGTGGAAAGTTGGTTTGCTGCATACTGTGGTGAAAAACCAGGCTGGATTTTACGATACTGGGGTGGCAATGAAGCCCTCTGTGGTTTTGTATTCCAACTCATACTTGATCTGATATAGGAGCGGTGTAGCCAAAGTCTACTGTTATGAATGCCAGGAATCTGTAAGATAAAAATCTTTCATTAACGTGTTGTTCTGCCTACATAAAATTCCTAAGAATTAGTAACTATCATAATTATTGAAAATTCACACTAGAAAAACTGTCCACCTGCTCAGGATATATAGTCCTACCTTATCTTCTCAGAAAGTCTATTAATAACACCATTTCACAAATAAAACATGGGCCAGGAATGGTTGCTGGAGGGTCACCAAAAGCTGATAGCCAGCCTGGCCTAAGTAAGTGAATTCAAGGCCAGCCTGAACTACATAGCAAGACCCTGTCTCAAAAGCAAAACAAAACATGTGAGCTTGTGACTGTAGCTTCTTGGGAAGCTGAGGCCGGAGGATCAGCTTGGGCCTTCAACTCAGGATCCTCCTGACTCATCCTCCCAAGTAGGTGGGATTATAGGTGTATGCCACTGTGCCAGTCCTTGAACAATGTAATTCAATCAGTCTCAAGACTGGTGAACCCCTGGTGGAGCCAAGGAGGATACTTTCTGAGAGGCATGGAAGGCCATCCCAACCCCACGCCTCGCCTCGTCCTATGCTTCTCTCCCATCTGGCTGTTCCTGGGTGGTATCCTTTACAAATCAGTAGGTCTCAGGAATGGGTTTTATCAAGCTCTGTGAGGTATTCTAACAAACTGTCACCACCACGCCCAGGTGAGAAAGTGTTTAACCAACCTTGCTCTAGTAAATTATCTTACAGTAAACAACACCTTTGTGTATACACTATTGTATTGTGCTGTTCCTAGAAATTCCTACTGGGCAGGGGATTTAGCTCAGTGGCACCACACCTGCCTTGCAAGTGCAAGGTCCTGAGTTTGATCCCCGTACAGAAAAAAAAAAATTCCTACATAAAAAACCAAGATACAAAGTTTTGCTAAAAGTTGACAAATTGCTGTCAAAAAAGGTTGAAATACTTTACATTCTCACAAATGGCACTCTGGTATATCTAAAAATGAACAAACTCATAAGCAGGAAACATTAAAAACACTCTTCATAGTAAAACTGTTACTCAGGAACCCCCAAGTAAACAAACTCTCTAATTTCATGTATCCTTAGTTGGCTTAAAAAAAAGAAATCACAAATTTTGTTAGTCATGCAGCCAAGTGCTGCATGACTGTCCCCTACTCTCACTGCTGCAGACAACCTGATGAAAGCCACCTGCCGGTCAGACTGCTCCCCAGAGAATGCCTACTCCCCTGTACCATGGGTGTCACTGTGTCCTTGTTCTGGGGGACAGGAAGCCTTTCACCACCTCCCCTGTTTTCAGGGTAAGGCGCCTTCCCTATCGTAGTAATTAACTACAATTCAACTATTCTGAGAAAGGAATAAAGATGAGTCATAAGACTTTTTAATCAGAAAGTTATCTTTAGATCTCAGAACCCAGACTATCCAATGACCAGCAAGATGGCAGCAGTCCATGTGTCAGAAGAGCAGGCCACCTACTGGATAGTGCTATTGGTTGGGTCTCCCAACTCCCGGTAACTCCTGTGGTAGAATCCTGCAAGGGGGTCTCTGCTGGCATCAGCCTCCAACCTCCTTGGTCTGCTTTCCATCTTCCTATTAATCTTTCTCCTTGTTCCAACAAGTTGTCCTGGAGTCACTGCTCTTCACAGTGGAGAGTGACTCACCTGGGTTCATGGTTACAAAATGATAGGGGTCACACTGAAAATCACAGAATTAAAGTTAAATACCAGTGGATCACTAGTACTCTACTCCCAACACCTGCAGAACAGACAGGTCTTTACAAGTGCACAGGGAATTCTGACCAGTATTGACCCCAGATCAAGAAAAACCTCAAACTAAAGGTTTAAAATAATTCAGAATAATCAACAGTGGGATTAATCTAGAAATTAGAGAGGAAAAAACTAGAGAACAGGAAAAATAACTGAAAAATAGCTAAGGCATTTCTTTCTGTTTTTGTTTTTTGAGACAGAGTCTCACGATGTAATTCTGGGAGACCTTGAACTATGTACCCCAGCCTGGCCTCAAACTAAAGGAGATCCTCCTGGCTCAGCCTTCTGAATGCTGAGATTACATGCATGCAATACTACGACTGGCAACAATGCCATTTCTAATGATGTACTGTAACTTTCAGCCAGGTATAGTGGCATGCACTTGTAATCCCACCACTTGGGAGGCAAAGACAGGAGGAATGTTTTGAATTTGAAGACAGCCTGGGCTACATAGTGAGTTCAAGCTAGGTTGAAATACATACCAAGACCTTGTCTCAAAAAGAAAGGGCTGGGGATTTAGCTCAGTGGTACTGCACCTGCCTTGCAAGCATAAGGTCGTGAGTTTGATCTCTAGTACAAAAAAAAAGAAAAATAAGTAGAATAAAAATAAAGATAACTGGGCCGGGGATTTAGCTCAGTGGTTCCGCTGTCTGCCTTGCAAGTGCAAGGTCCCAAGTTTGATCCCCAGTGCCAAAAAATAAAAAATAAAAAAATACAGATAACTTTCAGCATTAAACAAATTTAGAAAAAGATTTGAGGGCCTGGGTTTGATCCTTGATACCACCATTATGAATAATAATATATCATGGTCAAAGTGTGTTCATCTAAGAAATGTTGGAATTACATTAACAAAAAGTTATATTCATTTTGGCAAATACAAGGTAAGAATTTTTCCTAAAATTCTAAACCATTCACTAAAAGAACAACTGTATTAACACTAGAAACTTTTGTTTTTCTTGTGATGCTGGGTATCAAATCCAGGGTCTCTCTTGTATGGCAGGCAAAGGTTTTGCCACTTAATCCTGATGAATAGTAGCTACACACCCCCTCTATTCATCATCACCCCCTCTATTCATCACTGTACTAAAGTTCCTAGCACATATAAGGAAAAAAAACCAAGACTACAAAGTCTAAGAACTGGACAGGAAACCAGACCAGGATCAGAGATCCTACAGATTACCCAAGCCAATATCCCTGAAAATAAGGTCATTATACACCAGGTGTGGTGTCACCTGGACTTACTTTGGTCTTTTCTCATTGCTGAGACAAAATACGCAACACCCAGAGTTAAAGGAGGAGAGGTTTATTGTACCTCACAGTTTGTAAAGGTTTCAGTCCATAGTTGGCTGGCTCCAAGGTAGCACAGCAGAGGGGCACTGCAGAGGAGAAATAGTGCATGCCAGGCAGAAGGTAACAAAGCAGTGAAATAGCAAAGAAGAAGAAAGAAAAAGAAGATAAAGAAGCAGCAGCTGCCACCGCCGCCGACTTCTTTCTGTCCCTTTAGGTCCATCCAAGATATCGACTCTTTGGGTGGTGCCACCTACATGTGGGGCGGGCCTTCCCATTATCCATACCCAGAACTATGCCAGTCCAATCAAGGCCAATTTAGTATTCACACACTGTTAATCCTAGTATCACACTCTAGATCCAGCCACCTCTGAAAAACCCCAACTATGAGCTCATGAGGCTTTGGTGGGGGGACATGTAGACACAAGCCATGACGTGCCCTTAGTTCCATACACAAAGCTCCTAAAACCTTTGTAGGTAACATTTTCTTCCCCTTTTTTGTTCTAATATTTGGTCTTTCATCTGGTCCCTGACAAAGATCTGAATCTGGGAATTTTCTGGGTGGCCGGAGTATCTTGCCTTGTGACAGGTACTATATCTGTGGGCTCCTGGAAGCTGCAGGAGGAGGGCTGGCTGCTGAGAAGCCCACCCTGTGATCAGTACTGAACTTTCACCTCTACTAAAGGTGTTGGTGGCCCAGGACACAATCAATGAAAAAATCCCTTGGCCAGCAACCTTTGGATACAATGCATTTTTAGTATTTGCAAATATACACTGTACTAGAGATCGTCACAGTTGGAAGCACCATGGTCCACCACTATACTTTCCCTCTGCAAACACAAACACTTTTGCCCTGAAAACTTGTGCCTTCCATTACCCACACTTGTAGCAGCTGTGGGCATCCCCAACAAAACTCGACATAGCCAACTTTACCCAACCGCTCCCATGACCAAGTCTACCCAACACACGTCCTTGTAACTGTCACCCTAGTGTAGAGCCACAGACCCCACGCCTCCTATGGAAGGACCATGCATACATAGCATGCTGAGTACCAGAGCCCAATCCTTGCACCACAAAACCAATATTACAACTCTGCTTCCCTCCCCTTTGTGCCCAGTGTCCACCAGTCTCACTAGGTCATTCATACAGCTCCAGGGCTCCAGGTCACAGCTCTCATGCCCTGGAGCCCCACCCGCTGCCTTTCCACCTGTAGCCATGAGACACTGTCTCTTCCATGACCTGCACTGCTCCTTATCCTGCTCACCTTCAAAACGGTCCAGACTCCACTCTTCTCAAAAAAAGTTATGTATTCCTAACACCTGCTCAACATCCAAGCCAACAAATACAGTGGACCCTTGAGTTACAACCAGCCTGACATACAAACAACTTCGGTTACAACTGGGATGTTAATTTTAACTTACAATCAAAGTCTTGAGTTACAACCTGAATACCAGCTGCTTGTGCTTCCAGATAGTCTCAGTTACAGATTTAACCCTCAAAGAGTTCTAGAAAGAACACTGCAACATCCTTTCCCATGTGGGACTGAGAAATTCTGGATCAATGTTTCTCTTTCAGGATACCGAGATCTGCCTGTATACAGGAGAGACTTTGAAGGCCATGTAAGGAGCCTGAGCCTTTAACTGACCAACTTGAGTTACAACCAGCCCTCAAGAACAAATTCAGTTTGTAACTCAAGGGACCACTGTACTTGTTTAATAAATTCTATAATTTTCTTTTTCCATTTTGACCTATAGACATGTACTTCTAATCTAGTAGATGGGCAGTGGTAAATTGGCTGTATATTACATATGCTGAAAAGTGGCTTTTTGCCTGGAAAATATTATAACTTTTGCTTTTCCCCAATTCCTTTTTTTTTGGTACCAGGGATCGAACTCTGGTCCTTGTGCTTTAGAGGCAGGTGATGGAACCACTGAGCTAAATCCCCACCCCTCCCCACTTCTTTTTTGAGACAGG